TGGGATATAAAGGTTGGTTAAGTAATATATTTTAACAACCATGATTCGATATCGATACGATATTGTCGATGTCGACGATATCGATGGCAGGTATAATCTTCGTAAAAGTAAAGTTATTAAACATAAATACACATACAAAGTAACAGGGACGGTATTTACAAAGAGCTGAGCAAACTTTATTCGATATCGAAGCAACATCGTCAATATCGACGATATCGACACTACAGGGACAGTTTTATAAAAGATAGTTTTCAAATAACACATATTAAAAATACAATACTTGTATTATAGATGGAAACCAAAATCTTTGAACAATCATGATTCGATATCGGCACGATATCGTGGATATTGACAGTAAGGAAGACTTCTTAAAACAGAAAGTATTGTAATAAACACACAAGGATAGAGAAATATTATAGTAAACTATAAAAAAGTAATGTATCGATATCGTAACTACATCGTGGCTGCCGTCATGAGAAAAGGGCCCTCAAGTCACAATGCTCAGAAAACGACGTCAAAGTCGTAATATTGTAAACAAGTGCTTAATGCTTAATGCTTAATTTTGAATTCATGTTAAGAAGTCTTTATATTAAAATGTATATTCCATATACATGTAATTTTTTTTCAGAGAGAGATAGTGAGAAAAAAAGTGTGAGCGAGAGATCTATGCACATATAGAAATTACCGTTCTTATAAGCGCTATTTTTTCCTGAAAAATATATACCATAATTTAAAATGTATTTAGCCATTTTAATTTTAATCCATAGTTAGTCATGCTGATGTACATGTACCCCGATGGCCAACCTTCGGTGAACTGTCGATTTTAAAATGTGTGTAAAAAAAAGGGGGGGTGGGGGTAGACGTACAAGCCAAAAATATAATCTTCGAATAAAAAGACCAGATAAAGTTCAAGCTAAGAAACATAATTCCTCTTTGATTGAATAAAGATACTGGCAACATGGGTGATCCAAACCTTCTACATCAACGATAATTTTTTTAACACATTAACACTAAGAATATGCTAAGGGAAAAAAAGAAAAAAATGCCGAGGATGGGGATGCCACGAAAATTTTGCTAAAAATAAATTTTGTTTCAATGATCAAATAAATACATTTAAAGGAACTGAATGGTAAAAATTACCATTGTTTTAAATTTCTTAAATTGTTCAGATGAAATGAATGAATGAATGAAATCCCACTGGAACCTGTATTGCAATATTTTTAGAAATGAAATAGAGCTATTGTAGACTTTTCCTAAAAGCGTTATATACCCAGTGTTGAAAAAATGAACAATATTACATCGACAATGATTTTATGAATGAAGATATTTATACTAGTAAACCAAAAGAAAAAGAAAAAAATACTAAGGATCAAGCGAAAAAACATACGAATTTCTGGATAATGCCAGATATATGGCTACATCTTTTAAAAACACATCACTGATAGAGCAAAAAGTATATGTGACAAATGATCATGGTTGTAATCTCCAAAAGTTATGAAAAAATATATAAAATCTATACAAACTTTAATGAGCGTCAAATATATTTCACTGACTATTGAATTCATGATATGAAAAAAATAAGTCGCCTTTTTTGTTGAAATCATTTGTACATATACAGTGGACCCTCAGATATCCGGACGCCAGATATCCGGATGCTTCAGTATCCGGACGACTTTGCCTCGGAACAGAATTTTTTAATGTTATTTGTTCTTGTTTTACTGTTTTACAAATTGACAAGGACCAAAGCATCCGGATAAATGAGGCTCCACTGTATATATATATATATATATATATATATATATATATATATATATATATATATATATATATATATATATATATATATATATATATATATATATATATCCAAAATTTAAATAGTGTCTCAGTAATCGGATAACAATAGTAAAAAATGGTAAAAAGATAACACAAAAATCCTCAGTTAAGCTTTAGCGCTTTCATTTTCAATCTTCAGAAGCTTCTGAAGATTGAAAATGAAAGCGCTAAAGCTTAACTGAGGATTTTTGTGTTTTCTTTTTACCATTATATATATATATATATATATATATATATATATATATATATATATATATATATATATATATATATATATATATATATATATATATATATATATATACACAGTGTATATACATGTATCAAAGTACCCCGCATATCTCGACAATACTTTCCTACAGTTCCGTTGAAATCGAGATAAGACTTTATATCATAATCCTAACATGACTCCTGGGAAAATAATAATAAATTTAATAAACAAACACAAATATTTCTGCTTTTAAAGAAAAATATTGGCCATTAAAACCGCACGCAAGTTGCAACGGGGGGGAGGGGGATTACATTGAAAGTCCGGTCCCCCCTTTCCACACACACACATACCCACTTTTTGTTGCAGCCATAGTCAAATTCTTCACTATAGGACAAAAGAATAAGGCAGGCATTGTTTTATGTATCTATTGAAAATCGTACTTCTTAGTTTGATTAAGTTATTTTGTTAGTGAAAGAAGACTAACCCCCCCCCCCCCCCCCCATCATCACAACCCCACCAAAGGCTAAATTGGATTCGAGTTTCGACACCCCTACCCCAATTTCTTTTCTGGTTGAGTATTGAGGATTTTTAAGGTAAATTGATTTTTTCTGGCTGACCCCCCCCCTTTTTTAAACGAGTTGTGTTTCGACATGCGAAGATGCGAGACAAGTCGGTTTTTCTTTATTTTGATATGTTTGGTATGAATTTTAAGAATTTTTGAAAATTGAATAAGACACAGGTGTCGTCATAACGATTCCAGTGAGTAACGTCAAAGTTTTGTTGGGGAGCGCCTCACTAAAATGCTCATAAAATACTGAAAAAGTGAGATATTTTCAAAATTTATGTATATTTGCATTCACAAAGAGTCCGTCTATCAAAATTTACCAAAAAGTCAATTTGTGAAAATTTAACCTTAAGGCCCCTTTAATCGTGATGGCAGTCAAATATGTTCTAATTCGCTTCACTGAAAGGAAAATAAATTATTTACAATAATAACAACACAATTGTTTAGGAAGAGAAGCGCTTATCTGCTATTCATTACACGTACATTATACATAATAATTCCGTGAATCTCATCACTTCTTTCTGAAATAAAGAAAATACACATTAGACTTTTGACTTTATACAGAAAACCCATATGCATTAACTTAAACAGTTCTTGTCATACTCCATATACATGCTCTGAAAATTAAATCCTAACTAACACTTATGGTGGGTTGTGGTGTAACGTTGGCGAAAAAAAGCCTTCGAATAAGAAAAATTCGTGCTTGAAAACCTGTTCAACAGGTATTGTTAAAAATAGAAACCAATGGCTATAGACTTTTGATAATATATATACATTGTGAACTATTGGTATGGTTTCACGTATTTCAATAAAGAAATGTGTATCTGTTTGAAGGACTTAAAACATCCTCTGGAAGAGCTACGGAATACCCTTCAACAACATGGAGACACAGATTGGAGAAAAAAGATCCCCTGTGAGTTACTACAAATGCTTGGTCTTCAAGGAAACCTCAAGTATTTTGACAAAACTTGCAATATTTACTCAAATTTATGTCAAAATCTTACTATTGATGCTGGAAATTGTCTGAAATATTTGCAAGAAACCCATGTTTCTCACAAAGACACTGTAAATTTCTATTGTTCCGTTCCTGCTCTTTGTGGTACATTAATGTCAGGTAGAAAGAATGATGTTTTACAGCCGCGAAAGCAACTGGTAGACGTTATTTCTGAAGTCGATATGAAACCCAGTGATTGTAAACCATACACGAAATTGTCTCAGATTGATACATTGGAAGAGCAATTGGAAGTTGAAAAAGATATTCTTCCAGAAATAATTGGAAGAAGATTTCCATCGAGAACATCCGATAGAGATCATTTTCAGTCTAAATCTGGTGACCAGAACGTCAAAAGAGCTGTTGCGTTTTATGTTATTCCTGTATTTCAGTGGAAACCTAGGCATTCTGAGGTATCTTTAACAGGCAAAGCAGTCAAATGCTTGCAAAAATTAGAAACGTGCATGACATCAAACAAATCAAAAGCAAAAACAATTTGTTTAAATTTTTTTGAATCATATGGCTCACATTTTCAGCTACGAATGATTCATTTTGGTGGCATTTTTGAGATAGAAATTTTATTTAAAGAAAGAAATATAGGCCAGTCAGAAGAAAAAAGAAAGAAATTTCTTGAGAACGTTCTTTTAACTAGGCATCTTTGCAAGCTTGAAAGTCCAGATAGTGAAACTACGTTGAGCAATACTGATTGTGAGGAATTCGAACTCATATCCACCAACAGTTATCAGTATGGAGGGGCATCCCCTGTGGTAACTTTTCCTCTTTGGCAAAAGACATTATTAAAATGTGGAAGGTCGTTGACTGTCGTACATAAAGACAGATATGAAAATCATGAGCTTTTGGGGGTATGGAGTTTGATCGAACAAAAAAGTGAACATTTTAAAGATGCTGAACAATTGGCAGCATTTGTTTCTGAAGTTTGGATAAATCTTACTCATCAAAATGATGAACGCAACTTCTGTAATTCCATTAAACAATGGAAACAAGACTTTTTGAAAAAGGTGGAAGCCTTAGCGAATAAAAATATATCGAAAGATGAGGACCTTCAGATTCTTTTACAGCAACTTAGCGAAGGGGAGTCAAGGTATGGATATACACCTATCCAGGATGCTTTGTTTAAAGGTCAAAGGTCTGTTGAAACTTTTTTAAGGAGGTTTGCAGAATTTGAACCTAAATCGCCAAATGAGGAAAAACATAAGCGTTGGCATGGGCTTTTGAATATATGGAAGAAACTTAGCAAAGCTAAACATGGTTTAGCCGGAGAAATTTTGACATGGCTGCAAAAATATTTGTTAAGCGAGTTTGTTGTTTTGCCTTGTCCATTGCAAGATGTTGAAAGTACAAGTCGAACAATTGAAACAATACTACTTCCCGCAGTAATGGTCATCGTGAAAGAAAAAATATGCCAAATTGAAACCTTCTTTGCGTTTCTAACATCGACCTTACAGAAATCTGTTTCATGTGCGCTTGACAAGTTACTGTCAGTTGGAAACATTCTTCAATACCTAGCCATGTTTTCCGACGCATTGACCTTAGGATACGATATTCATACTAAAGAAATGAAGAAATCTTTGACTATAGACGCAATTAAAGAGTATTCTTGGCGATGTAAGAAAACTCTCACCTTCTTTGGGACCATCAAAAGTTTTTCTGCTTCAGCTAGTCAAGCATGGGCTTTAAAGAATATAATATTCAACCTCATCAATAAAGATTGTTCTATTGCTGATTCCCATTCTTCTGCTCAAGGCGAAAGGGGTAAGCTATTCAGCAGCATCGTCAAAACCATGAAAAAAAGAGGACTGACATTTGATCCAGAAATACTAAAAATAGTTGAACAAACCCAAACTGATTTAGATGATATTTTGAAACGAATGGTGCAGATTTCAGGGATTTCAATTTCATATTTCGAAGGAGACAAAAGAGTTAATAAACCTGCCTTGGTTGAAGATTCTTTTCCGGAGTGTCCTTTGTCAGCAAAACAAAAACCATTATTACAGATTTTAGAAAAAATGAATATGAAGGAATTTTATCCAGGAAAACTTACACTTCAACACGTACTGAAAATGCACGAAAATCAATTTTTAGAACCAGCATCATTTTCCGAACTTCCGTGGGTTATGCTTAGAAAAATTATTGCAATAAACTTTGACTTCAGGGAAAAAACTCTGCATGATTTGCTTCGGAAGCTTGCAATAAAATCGCAGCCAGAGAAAAAAGTATCTTCTATTGGACAGGTCGTTTCTTCAAGAAAAAATATCAAAACAAGTGAACAGTATCACCCAACAGATGTCTTTCTTGCATTGTTTCAGTGTTTTGATCCATTTCTCAAAAAACTTGTTGTACAGAAAATGCAAGTTTGTCAAGTTGCTGTACCATTGGTCTACCAGGACTATGAAAGAAATCTCCTTAGACTTTCCTTATGGCCCATAAGGGAAATTTTTATTGACGGGGGTTCTGAATCTGTGGCTACAAAACACCTACAAACAGTTGCCTTTGTAAGAATTGGTGATAAAAGAAAACGTTCAAAATCAAAATTAATCAACCAATTTCTTAGAAGCCAAAATGATGAACACAGTACTTTTTACCATAAGGATTGTTCACTTGGATTTCATAAAAGAGATTTTGCTAGCGGAACCGTCGAAGCAAGTTGGTTCATTCCAAATTCAAAAACAAACAACGACGACTCCGATAAGAAATCAGAGAAAGAAAAAAATATTGAACAGCCTCTTACAATTCTAAACCTAAGAGGAAATGCATCTACCTACCTCGAGCAACTTCAATTTTTGCTAACTTTGGCTAGTGCTTTGGTTGTCATTATTGACTATGAAGATATACAAAATGAAACACACTACCCAATTTTACGGAAAATTCATGCATCAGAGGCTCATGTCATAATTGTTACAGATTTACCACACGATGAGGACGAGACGGAACGATTTATTCAAATGTACAGCGAAAAAACGGAGTTCTCAGTTGAGAAATGCTCAATTCTTTCCATTACCTCGGAAGGACGATATCTTAACGAAATAGAGGTGAAACAATGTTTAATCAATGATGTTGATGGCGCTATTCGCCGTAGGACCTTTTCAATGTCTCTCGAAGAAATAAGTGAACAATTACCATTAGGTTTCTACAGTGATGAGGAAAGGCCAAAATCGATTTTAGGAAAACAGCTATGTGGTCAAATTATATCTCAAATAGAGGGTACCCAATGGACAACAAAACTACATAAAAAGGATATTCTACCACTCCAGGGTGAGGCTTTATGGCATGAATGGAGTATCGAGCAAAAAGAAGAAAATCGGTCAAGAAAAGGAGAATTTGTTGCTAAAGACCAACATTTAGAGAAGATGCGAATTTTGAGGGTGAAACAGGTTTGCGTTTTCGAGCAAAAAAATGACATTATGGCCCAGTTTGTCGATATTTTAGTAACGTATATGAATGATAAACAAACATCATTGTTTTTCATATCTTGGCTGCGTCAGTACATGGATAGTCGTTCTAGAATTATTCTGCCGGAAGTTTTGCACAGATTACGGGAAGCTTTTCATAATTTCGAAAACATCAGATCATGTAAAGGAGCAGAAGTACAAAAAAATGATGAGAAAAATCTGGAGGAGCTCAAAGCAAAAATATCTCAAGAAGAGAGAAATTTGGCACAATGTTCTTTTGGAATAGAACACTTTTTCAGGGAAATGGGCCAACTTTATGAAGCTTTTATGTACTGTCAAGATTACGTGTCTTGTTTAGTTACATTGAAAACTCGAGAAGTTATACAATCTTTACCTACAGTAGCTGCAAAACTGTTATTGTGGGGACAACCACTTGAAGTAATGGATGGCGACGCCGCAAATGTTCCCCTTAAATGGATTAACGCTGTCTTTAGTGAAGTTTCAAAAATAATAGATGGAGAAAAAAAGCGTCTTTTTTCTATTTCAGTTTTAGGCATCCAAAGTTCTGGGAAGTCAACTCTACTCAATACAATGTTTGGACTCCAATTTGCCGTAAGTGCTGGAAGATGTACAAGGGGGATTTATGTTCAACTCGTACCCATAAATAAAAAAATGTCTTCCTTAAAGTTTGATTACGCAATGATCATTGATACCGAAGGTTTGCGTGCACCTGAACTGGCTGGTGAGAAGGTGAATCATGATAATGAACTTGCAACTCTAGTAATTGGCATGGGAGATGTTGCCATTATTAACATAAAGGGAGAAACAATTGCAGACATGGAAGACGTTCTCCAAATAGTTGTTCATGCGATGATAAGGTTGAAACAAGCAAACGAAAAAATAACTTTAAAACAGTCCTGTATTTTTGTTCATCAAAATGTTTCAGCGCAGGATGCGGATAAATTAACAATCCAAGGAAACCAAAAAATTATCAAAAATTTAGATAAAATGACAGTAGAAGTAGCTAATGAGGAACATGTGGCAAATATAAGGTCGTTCAAAGATGTAATTGGCTTTAACCCAATCAAACATGTCAAATATATTCCTGATCTATGGCATGGTACTCCACCAATGGCACCAGCTAGTTCACAATACAGCACAAGTGTTATCGAAGTTGCAAAATGCATTCTTACAGATTTGACAAGTGATGAATCTCAACGTTACCTTTCTGTCGAAAACACCAAAGTCCATTTGCAAAGCCTCTGGAAAGGTATATTGTCAGAAAACTTTGTATTCAGCTTCCGAAATGTACTAGAAGTTAAAGCATACAGCTTATTAGAAAAAAAATTCCAAGAACTAACCTGGCAACTTGAAGAGCTGAAATTAAAATGGTTGAATGATAGTGTTCGTCCAACTCTTAGAAAATGCATAAGACATGATGAACTCGAAAGACATGAAAGAGAAATATATAAAGAGTTTTCCAAAACCATAAGTTCCAAAACAAATGCGATAACTAAGGAATTGGAACGTTTTTTTAAAGAATCAGACTTAGCTGAGCATATGGTGCATTGGAAAGGTCGAAAAAATGCTGAACTTGAATCAACTTCCCGTGAAATTCTTAGTGACATAAAACACAAACTAAATGTTGAAAAAGAGAAATGCAGAACCTTAACGAACAGTAATAATTGCATACTTCAAAATAAGAAAGAAATTCAAGGGAAAGCTACCGAATTTGCAAGAACTCTGAAGGGAAGAAAGGAAACGCCTTCAGAGGAAGAAATATCCAAGACGTTTGATGATGCTTGGAAACAATGGGTTGATGATATTGTTCGGGATAATCCAGAGAGAGATGTTCAACTTGATTTACAGGAGATGAGAATTCAAATTGACCGTCTGCTTGTCGATAGATTTAAAAAACATGAGATGCTGTTAAATGCTGAGAAGATTCAAAAATGGGGGAAATCAAATAGAATTGAAAATACAATGGCGGTTGATGATATTAAAGAAAACCATATTTCAATTAGTACCAGATGGTGGCAAATAAAACGTATCTCATTTGCCAAGTACCAAAAAAAAAGCGTATGAATTCATCAGTTGTAAAATATTCAAAAACATTGATGTATACGTCAAAAGTCTACCGGCTGATAACGAATATGACTCTTCAATTTTCAACCAGATTCTTAAGTATTGCATTGATGCATTCGACGAGCATTACAATGACCGTGCAACTCATGGGTATTTAATACAGCCCAATCTAGAAATAAAAGTCGCTTTGCATGTTACAAGTTTTTGTGAGTATCATTTCACTAAGATGATTCAAGCCTTTCACTTAAAAAACAGTATTCGTTCAAGAATAGAGAGTAGTCGGCAGGAAACAGAGGCTCTTTTTATTGGCATCTGTACTGCAAAAGCAAATGAAGTGATTGTTTCCAACGTTTTTTGTGTGGAGATGAAATCCTTAGTACAGGAAAAAATCGAGAGAGAGCTATCTGTTCACATTTCAAGGGAAATAAATCACCATTTTGAGTTCACAAAGTTTTCTTTAATCAGGGCTATCTTAAAAGATTTAGCAGAAAATGATGAATTTGAAACGTTTATGCAGTACGTTACCTGCTGTGAATCATATACGAAAAACTGGATCACCGAATTTACAAAGGCTCACTTTTCTACCAGGAATGACAATGGAATTACACCCTTCACATGCTATGCAATTGAAGTGTTGGAATTCATTATCAGGGAAATAAAATTATCTGTTGGTAAGGCGTCCTGTGAACCGTATCCACCGCAGTCGGTTGCGGAATGGATACAGAGATTTCTTGAAAATGTCGAAGAACATTGTTTTAATTTTTCTGCAGAACCGTTTCAATCTATCAAATATCTCAGCATAAGCAATTTTGATGATTTATCGCACTTCATCAAAGATCAAATTGAAGACGTTCAAAGGGAGCTGACTTTAGGTTTCAAAGAAATGGATATTGAATCTGTACCTTGGAAAGACCCTTCTCCACATAAGGTAATAATGGATAAGTTATGGGGCTGTCCACAAACGTGTCCTTGGTGCAAGGAACCCTGCTCAATGACATCCAATAAAGACAATCATGAACATAGCTGTATACAACATCGTCCACAAGGGATCAATGGTTATCACAGAGAAGATAACAGTGAGCTTGTATTAGAAACTTGCAACTATCTCATCAAGAGTGAAATGAAGGTAAAATGTGGCAACTGGTGTAATTGTTCTGAAAAGAATTTGGAAGTTTATCACCCGTGCAAGAGCTACAAAACATATATACCAACGTGGGAAATAACTCCTTCCTCAGAGATATCAAAATACTGGTCGTGGTTTATTGGAAAATATGGAAAAACTCTTGCTAAGCACCATGGGATAATTCTTCCAGAAGTTCCTGATGATTGGGTGAAGATGAAAAAAGAAAACGCAATTTTGAGTCTTAATGAATATTTCACATGATCTATTTTTCTTTACAAGAATTTGGAACGAAAATTGATGATGTTAATACAGTAAAATTAGAATATCAACTTATGTTAGCAGACATGAAGAACCAAAGCGGAAACTCATTGATAGAGTAATAAAAGTACTTTTTTGCCTTAGTTGTTTTCGGGGAAAGATCAAGTCAAAAGCTTTATATACCTCAGTTTGAAATTATAGACATAATAATGCCTTTGAAGGCATTTGAATGGAAATGCAAGTACTTTCAAACTGTTATTACAATGCGTACTAGATAACTATAGAAATTTGAACAAAAATAATAATAATACATGTACTATCCATAACAATTTAATCCTTCTACATGCTTTAAATTGTAATTTTCAAGATTGTTGATAAAAGTTTGGTTTTATCATCATTATAAAAAAATCAATATTGCTTATTTTTTGCACTGCCGGTCAGAGTTAATTATGAGATAGAAATATTCCGTCGCCCGCCCGTCTGTCTGTCTTACATATTTTTTTTTCAAAATGCTACTCCTCCTACAGATTTGATCTAATTCTAATATAACTTTGAAGACAAGTAGACTACACTGAGATACATAACTTTATGTATCGCTTTTTGATTTACCAGAAGGTGCTACCTTGGTTACTAAAAATAGAATTTCTGTGAAATACATTAAAAATGCTATTCCTCCAAGACTTTTGGTCCAATTTCAATATAACTTGGCACACAAGTAGACAGCACTTAGATTGGTTTTTGATGAACAGTGTTACAAGATTTATCAAAAAATGAAATGCTTTCAAAATGCTACTCTAAATGCTATTCTAAATGCAGTTTTAGTCTGATTATAAAATATAATATAATTTGATACATAAATGTCATTTTTGTTTTTTTCTATTAAGATGAATGGTGTTGCAATGATAACTAAAATTGAAAAATCACTAAAAAAAAATATTAAAAGTTACTGCTACAGTTGTAGTTTTACTGAAATCGTGCCCCCCCCCCCCAAAAAAAAAAGAAAATTAAGGTTCATTATTCTATTACGTGTAAATGTAATTACTTTTGTAATGTTATAAGTCCTAACTGCAACTCTTCTCAACCTTTATTATAACAACAAACCAATAGAGCTTCAGCTTTGACAGAGACTTCTGGTTTAAAATGAAATCCAATGCAATTTTTTTTCGAATGCTACATTTGTAAAAACTTTGATTTATGTTTCGTACATGTGATATTTAAATAATGCTGTTTCGTATGTGAAAAGAGTTTTATTGTGATCACGTTGGGTTTTTTTAAGATAGTACATGTAATGATGCACGTCTCCTAATGTGAAAATAATTTCTTTGGGAAAACCTATTTTGTTTCAACATTTGCTTATAACGCTGAAGTTTGTACGCTATACAAAGCAATATGCTCAGATAATGCAAAAAAAGTTGATTCAAGATGTCTTTGGTGTTTCGGATGAAATTATCAGATTTCTTTTTTAAAAAATTTATGTAGGAGCCACATAAAAAGTTGTTGAAATATTTCATTACTAATTTAAGGCAAGGCCATTTTTAGTAGGTTTAAATTAGGGCTCTTGGATTAAGGTGATGATTCAGTGGAAATGTCTAGCAAAATGTCATGTAGAAGAACATGACCAAAATGATAAATTTGGTAATATGCAAGCCTCCTCGGATGACTTTACATTTAGATTTAAATCTGTTAAAACGTTGTATCGCGAATATGGTCGCGCATTCATAATAAGACAATTTAAGTAAGGGAAATGAAAAAAAACTTGCACTCATTTGATAAATACTAGGGATGGCAATTCTGAATCGGTTAATCCATTAATCGGTCGGAACGATGCAAATTGGTTATAAAATCCGTAATCGGTTAGTCGGAAAAAATAAAAATTTACGTTAATTTCAACACATTTTCTTAAAATTCATTATTTAGAAAGGAAACCACTGCTTAAAGTTCATTTAATGTCTTTACTTATCTTGTAATTAAATAATTAAGAAATAAATAAATAAATAAATTGTGGAACCATAGAAACCACCTATCCTGATTAAGATCACGGGGTAATTGGTCAGTTTGTGAAGTGTTAATTGCTGTTTTCAAAACATCATGTTGTTTCCCCGGCCGTCCTGCGCGTGATTTTTAATTATATTCAAGTTCAAGTTCTTTATTGACTTTGAGCTTATAGCTCATCAGTACAAACAAATACTAACATGACTGTACAGGTGTACAGGAAAATATATTACTTATGTAAATATGATACATTTATGTATGACATAAAAAAATTACGACATGGATAATTAATCTAACATGTCTTTTCTAGGCTTAAGTAAATAAATTTACTTGCCTTTGACCTTCATATAATAAAGATTGTCTTCTACATTTGGCCTCAGAAGTTTTATATGCACGCTGTTCCTGGGATAGGGGACGACCATTTGATTCGGGGTGGGGGGAGGGGTGCTGGCAAATTTTTTTGAGACGCATTACTTATTTTCATGCTAGTCAAGGACAGATAATTTATTTTCAAGATCATCAAGGACAGATTATTTATTTTCGTTTTTGTCTAAGGTTACATTGATCAATTATTCTTAAAGACTTATCATTTATATACCATAGGCGGATACAGGGTTTGGGGAGGGGGCATGTATAACTTCGTTCAGGCAAGAGGTCTGGGGTCGCCATAAAGCCCCCAGTGGGTCCTGGGCGAAGCCTAGATGGAGGCCCAGGGAGGACCCCCCCCCAGAAGCTCTTGGGTTTTTGGGTATTTTAAGAGTAAAACCAAACATAATTATGTGGGAATTGGTTAGTTATGTACCAAAGTATGACATTCTTAATATTAGTCGTATCATACTTTGAATTCAGGGGGTGAACCCCCCTGAAGCTCTTGGTGTTTTGTGCATTTTAAGAGTAAAACTAGGCACAAAAATATTGGTATTGTACCAGAGTATGGCATTATCATTATTAGTATCATATATACTTTGAAATTTTAGGGGAGGGGTCGTACACATGTACGCCCCCCTTAAATCCGCCAGTGTATACTTTGTATTTATATTTCTGGAAGTATAATTCTTTGACAAGAAAACTTATCTATTGCAGTGTATAAGAATTGGCTTGTATTTAAAGTGATTCATCACACATACTGAGTGCTGCACATTGCCATGTTGATACACTGAGTACAAGTATCAAGTACAAGAGTCTGGCAATCTGATTTTAAATACTATTTGGTTCTAAAATGGCGAGCAAAGCGAGCCCAAAAAATGCTGAATTGAAGATTTTGAGGTTAATTTACACGGAAATAAAAAGGTACTTTTCACAATATTTAAGTATCATAAGTCAAGGCCAGATTATTTATTTTCTTTGTAGTGGAGGACAGATTATTTATTTTCAACATTTTCAGGGAAAGATTATTTATTTCCAAAATCTGCCCCCCCCCCCCCCCCCCCCCCCCCTCAGAATCAAATGGTCGTCTTCTCTGTGATTAACATTAGTTTTACAAAGATTAAATTTACGCAACGCTAAAATGTAATCTTTATACAATGATTTTAATTTCTTATCAAACCAAAGTTTATCGTTTGTGGATAGATAAAGGTTGTGTTCACAATTGTTGCTTTTCAAAACAGTAGAATTAATAGAAAGTAAG